CAGCTTTACAAGTCAAACTTTACTCTGTATTAACGTGAGCGTGCCTCCACCGGTGGGTTTTCAGGTATTGTGTTATACCGCCAAGCATTTCCATTCTCCATGCATTGAGAGACGCACATTGTTGTCATTCAGACCTTCCTGCAGCTTGATGAGCCATAGTGTAGCTACAATTGACTACGAGCGACATCATCTGCATCAGCCTCCTGTGCTAATTAGCTTTCACGCATTGGGCGCGCTCGGCAGTATCGACTCATTGTTAACACTCGGCTAATTTTTCAGATAAAAGGCAGAGTTTCATCTGATGTGTTTTCCTGCTAATTTATGATATCTCTGCCGGCCTCTCCGGGCCACACCTGAGCGCCCTGCTGACTCATTCTCATTCATGTGTGCACATCTGCTCAGTCACAGTGTCACGGCGGTGAGCCCCATAAGAGAGCCCCGCCGGCTAGTGAAAAGGAACGCGATTGGTCGGCCTGGCCAAAGTGACATTTGCAGTTCAGCGGCGAAGGTTATCGTGTCTGCAGATCCACACGTGCTGCAGAAAAGGGGAAAAAAAAGCTTATTTTCTCAGCGTTCTCAGATATGAAAAGGTAACATTTGCTGGAGTGGTTTGGAGACGAGAGAACGAGAGGGGCTCTGCAGATATGGATCAGGAGGGGGAAGATGTGTCTGACATTCTAATGTATGCTGGGAGATAACAGAGCCACTATAGGGGTAGGGAGGATTGCTATGATGTGAGTAATAAAAAAAGAAAAAAAACAGGGTTTCTTGTGGAGAGGGGAGTGTGAGAGCACCTGGGAATAAACAGAACACAGTCATCTCCTCAGGCTGGGGCTGCCCTCGGCACAATCAATCTGGAGTGACCTCACCGTTGTCTGCAACACATTCAAGGCTGGGCTGAATAATTCCTCAATTTTTCAGTCTTACAATAACAGAGCGAAAAGTACGAAACTGATTACAATGCTGAATTTGAAGGTTAAGATCATTGTCATATACACAAAGCAGTTCTTAAAGTGCCAATAAAGGATTATTAAATAGAAAGGAACTCAATCGAAACACAGCTCAATTTGCTGTTTCAGGTCATTTCTTAACTTTCTAAATTTCAAAACCTGCCAGTGGGTTCAAAAGGCAGGTTGTCTTTATAATATCAGTGAAGTGTAAAAAATTTCAAGCATCCTCAGAGTTTCAGCTTTCTGATGGAGTCGTTCTATCAGAAAAAATAAACCAAATCTGAACTCAAATAGTGATATTTCATCAAAATCATTTTATTCTAAATTGCTCATTGAAAAAATCACAAAAAATAACTTATTTGCAGAAACTAGATTCTGTAAAAAGAAAAGAAATCTGCACTCCAGAGCACAACTGTAAAGTCATGACTGATTCAGCTGCAACCAACAGTCATGTGACATAAAATTCAGTGACTTCTCAGCTGAACTACAGGCTGAGTGTTCACAGAGCAGATAGGACACAAGTATGGAAACAAATTAAATATAAGCATCGAAATATGCATAGTATATGAAGTCCTCGTTTGTTGTTTTTCTTTCTCGTAACACCTGGGGGCACTTTATTATTATTATTATTATCATTATTATTGCTATATTTTATTGTTTTTTTTATTTTTTATTTTTTTTAAGTAAAATAAGTAACCAAAGCATTAAAATAATTTCTTTTTTTTTTCTTTTTCTTTTTTTTTT